AAAGAGTTCAAATAATTTAATTTTATACAATTGTATATGTAAGAGTAGTAGTTACTTATTTTTACGTTTGCCCTCACTGCATAGTTCTTGTGAGAAAGTGAAATAAGAAAGACTTTCTTGTGATATTTGTTTGGACTGAAGTCAGAGAGATACTAAAAAACCAAAGTAGCTGATATTATGCCATTCTCATAATGCAAAATTTGACCAGTAGCCAAAGAACATCTAAATACCTTATGATTAATTCTGGCTTTGCCAGTAATGGAATTACAGCTTGGTTGTGTTTACTTTTTTCTTAATTTGCTTAACTTCTGCAATCTTTTTCTTAGCGTGGTGTATCCAATGGGGCTGCCCATACCCTTCCTCTGGAGAGGACCCTTTATTCCAGTGTATTTCATGTGGTGGAAGGCTTTGCTTTGGTCATCCTTTGCAGCACAAGACCTGCCACCAGGAGATTAGCTGTCAGTGTTCTCAGAGAAATAAGGGCCTTGTTCACACTTTTAGAAATTTCTAAGGTAAGAGTTGATGACCCATTCTTGTGACCCCTTTATGAAACTACTTTTATCTTGACTTTCTTTGAGCTTTTTATGTTTTGTGTTTTTTTTCTTTTGTAGAGTGATGATGAGTTGGCTATAGATGTAATGGACAGACTAAGTGCTACCATCCTGGAGAGTTTCATACATCTCACTGGGGCTGATCAGGTAGGAGAGTTTTTATGTTAAGTTGGATGTAAGGCGAGGTAATTCTGCAAAATTCAGTCCCAGATAAATTGTATGTATTTTAAATGATAGTGTCACTATGTTCATGCTAGCTTTATCAGCAATTTATCCCTTAAAAACAAGCGAACAAACAAAAACACCAAACCCAACCCAACCAACCAAAACAACAAAAAAGGTTTGTGGTTTTTTTTTTTTAAAAACCTCAAAAAACTTGAGGAATGTTGTGAGGCTGACACCACCATTGTACACTTTCTGATCAACAGTGTGTTTTTATGACCACCTTATACATACAGACAGCTACATCTATATCTGTTTTTCTCGTCTTCCTCACAGATTACAATTTCTTTGAAGCAAAGACCACTGCCTTTTTCTGCAGTGATACAGTGTCTTAACAGTCAATGTGTCCTTTATCCATGATGAAAGCTATAATAACTATCAATGAGTAACAACTGAACTGCATATTTCTATATTTTTCATTAACTCTTAAGTATCAAGGAAAAGCTCTTCTGATTTTAGGTTTAGGAAACAAGTTGGAATTCAGTAGAAAGGCTTTTAGAGCCCAGAATCTTTTGGAAAAATTAAGTCATCATGAGTGAAAGGACCTTTTTCTGTAATTTACTATTTCCTAATATCCTGTTCCTTCCCAAACAGCATGTTTATGTGACTCCACACTAGGAACTTCTGTAAAAAAAAACATAAATTAAGTGATGTGTTTTATCTATTCCAAATGTGGTTTTGACACTGATGTTTTATTAGATATTTAACAATGAAAAGATTGTTACTTAATATACATGGATATTAAATATTGTCTTGTTCTCCTTTTTTATGCACACAGACTACTTTACTGTACTGTCCCAGTTCAATAGATTTACAAACTTTGGCTGACTGGAATTCCTCCCCAATCAGCCACCAGTTTGATGTGGTCAGTCCATCACATATATGGATATTTGCACATGTGACTCAAGGCCAAGATCCATGGATTATAAGCCTTTCCAGTTTTATGAAACAAGAAAATCTTCCAAAGCACTGCCCAACAGCTGTAAGCTATGCTTGGACATTTGCTTATACCAGACTCCAACTGCTGTCACCACAAGTGGATATAAAGTAAGTAAATGCAATATATTATATAGAGTATTCTTTCAAGAGTTATCATCATTGTAATGTTGTTATGTTTCAGTGAGGTTACATATGAACTGTTAATATTTTCTGTGGGTTTAATTCAGCTTTATATAACAAAAAATTACAGCAGTTCTATCTGGAAAAAAAGTTATCTGTTGTAAAGATTAATTAATTCATGCCTTAGGCCATGTTGTCATTCAACAGACTGGGCTGTAAAAGCATATGCTGTTGATGTACCGGTCTATCCTGAACAATGTATTCAAAGTTTACCATGTTAACAGTTTCAGCTTTTCAACAAAAAATTTCAGCAGTTCTATCTGGAAAAAAGTTATCTGTTGTAAAGACTAATTAATTCATGCCTTAGGCCATGTTGTCATTCAACAGATTGGGCTGTAAAAGCATATGCTGTTGATGTACAGGTCTATCCTGAACAATGTATTCAAAGTTTACCATGTTAACAGTTTTGGAACAAGTGGCATGTATATAACCGAAAAATAAATTCAGTAGAAGAACAAAGTGAAACCTCGTTAGCTTTATTTACTATACTGAACTTTCTCCCCACACACACCGTCCTTTTTTTTTTTTTTTTTTTTTTTTTTAATAGCAGCCCTATCAATGCAAAGAAAGTGAATACTACTACAAGCAGTGACTCCTATATTGGGCTCTGGAGAAACTACCTGATTCTTTGCTGCAGTGCAGCATCTTCTTCGAACTCCTCCACCTCCACAGGCTCTGTGAGATGTTCCCCTCCTGAGACGCTGGCGTCTACTCCTGACAGTGGTTATAGCATTGATTCAAGAGTAGGTTCTTCTAATGCTTGCTGTAAATAAGTCTACATGTTACTGGAATTAGAAACACCTGAGGCTTATAATAATCGTCATGATTCTAAGAAACTGCTGTAATTTGTCTGAAAACATCTTTTAGTATACGTTTGTCTTTCATTTACATTTTGTTCACTTTTTAGGATAGTGTTTCAGTTTGCTGCTCCCAATCCATGCTCTAGAGGCTTTTCTGCTTGTGTTTTTTAAGGCCAAATCTAATCGTGTCATGAAAACGTTAACCCAATCTCACAGTCTTATCTAGTGGTAATGAGGAAATGTTTTGTTTACCATTAAGGGGTTTTTTTGCTATCAGTAGACTTCTGCAATTCTGAGCAAACAGCCTCTCACTTCAGTAACTGAAGCAGTGACCTATTCAGGCATGATGTTATCTTGTTATATTTTTCACAACCACAGTCAGTTTTTTGTCTGCCTTGCTTCATATCACCTGCAGATTTAATTTTTTTTTTTTGCTGCGGCTTTGCTTCTTTTTTTTCTTCTCCTTTTTGGCTTCCTGTAGAAGGTACAGTAGAGGTGAAGATAATTCATAGACTGTGCAGGAGAATTTTGGCAGAAGCAGCCTGTTCTGCTTTTTTGTTACCAAGATCCTTTCCCTAAATCTGCAAAACTGTAGACTGAAAGTTTTGTTCTCTTTGAGAGCCACAGTGGCATCTAAGGAGTTGGACACCGGAAGTCTGCTTCTGCTCCCTAAAAAGGAGAGATACACTAAACGTGCAAAGCATGTCTTTATCCTGTTGAGGCATTCATTGTTATCTGACAATAAAAATGCAATTATACAAGGAATGGAGAAGTAGTTAATACTGCTTTACTATTTCAGAAAGTCTTTTTCCATGTCAAAGATGAAAATTTTCATTTTTATAATTTTAAGTCACTGATCAGTGAATTACAGAAGATGTTTTAATGTCATACCACCTGATTGTTTGGTAACGACTTCATTCTGTTTTCTTAGATCATTGGCATTCCATCCCCTTCCTCCCTGTTTAAGCACATAGTTCCAATGATGCGCTCTGAGAGCATGGAAATTACAGAATCCCTTGTGCTGGGACTTGGCAGGACCAACCCAGGAGCTTTTAGGTAACTGTTGTGTTTCTTCTGTTTTTATGTTAACTGATTACAAAGCTGAGGAATCAGAGCTCAGAAAAAAAGGTTTGCCTTTTTTTTTTCTTTTAAGAATTTAAAAAAAGCTGTGAAAACTGATTACCATTGTCTTTTCTAGCATTTAGTGGTGTGATAAAGATTGTTAGAGGTTGAAACAATTTTATGTAGAGGTCATGCCTGCATAAAGAAAAAGAAGTTAGTCGAAAGAATAAACAGCTGCCTTTTATTGATATTAAAGGCTGCCCTTGTATGAAAGAACAGGCTGTCTGGACTATTAACATTTGAAATGTTAAGTATAATCAAGTTTGTAAGAGTTACTAAACTCTTCTTATTCTCATTGCCAACAAATGTATGTTTCTGAGCTCTTTGTGTGTAGGAGTTACCATGAGAACTGTATTAAAAAGATTTTTGGATCAAGCTGAAAAAAATAGCAGTTACAACTCTTTTCTGACTAGTGCTGAAGCTTATTTGTGGAGCATCCTTCTCCCTTTTTTCTGAGTAACCTTTCTGTAACTTCATAACTAATACACCTTTCTCATACATTGTACCGATGACAAGTCCATGTGGATTAGTTTGGGTGCTGGTACCTGTGATCTACTGCAGCAGAATTAAATCTGTGCCAAGTCACTTTCTCTGTCAATTTAATTTCATGCATCGAGTTCAACATACTTGGATTCAGCTCATAATCCAAAACTTTTGGTTACCCTATTGTGACAAGTCTCTGTATACGTTTTGAATTCCAAATGGTCTATCTAGCCATCATGGCATTCCTACCTCAACTGCAATTAACTTTTCTTCGGATCCTAATGTACTGCACTGTCAATGTGTAATACAAATCCACTGAGGTGAAAAGGCAGCTCTATGCCAGGAAACCCTGAGTTTCAAAATTCATCTCTATGCCGCTGTCCTCAACTGACAACTGTCTCTTTATGGAGGATTGATGAAGAAGGAGAACATCAGAGAGGAAGAAAACTTCCTGCAAGGCCCGTGCTCAGTATCAGGTGTTCTCTGACAGCAGCCAACCTCTTATAATGGAGAGTTATGAAGTTGTACCAAGCTATAGCAACCAACTCTGCTTCTGCAGAAGAAACCAGGGATCGATAACGTTCTTGGTTTTGAATGAGATGCTGCTTCTCTTCAGTCACTTGTGTCCCATATTATGGCAGATGAGGAGCCAAAGATGTATTTGAAATCATAATGCCAAGTCCTCAGTTGCAGTAATCTGTTCTACTCCTTTGATAATCTTCAGGTTTTTTTAATACCTTATCTGACTTTACTCTCCTACCATGAGTAAAGCAAGACTTTATCCTGTGACCCTGAAGATCTACTTGGGTTTTAAACAAGTAAAATCATAATTGGTCTCTACTAGTCTAGAAAATGCTTTCAGAAAGGATTTCACCAGAAATCCTTGTTTTCTAAATTAGAAACAATACATTTAGAAAACTTAAAATATATCTGATTCTCATCAGTCATCTGGTTTCTTTATTCTGAATTTTATGTTTTGTTTCTGATAACCAGCATTTTTCCTCTGTCTAATGTGTGTACTCGTACCAGATACTAACTGTAGACCACCCTTCACCATTGCAGCTCTGCATAATGTTAACAAATATTAAAGTAAAACCAATATGTTTTTACCTTAGTATTTTGTCTGCCTAGATCCATACTACTGATCTCCTTCTCCCTTACCTGCCCCCTTTTTGGAGAGTCTGAGTTTGGCAGAAGGTACTGAGTAGAAATAAAGACTGCAGAGCTTCAGAACAAATAGGGAATGTAACTGCAGCATCACAGCACGTTGCTTTTCAGTTTTCATAGAGACAGTCTGACTTCTGTCAGCATAGCATTATTGGCCTTAAAGAAACAATCCTATTAACAACTAAATGCATCATGACAACTGAAAGAGCATTGTATGATAAGCTGCCAACATCTTTTTTTTTTCTTTTCTAGTAATATCTATTTGCACTATAAGGCTTTGTTAAAACCTGAATATGAAAATAAATGAAAATCATCTGCAGTAGAAAGATGTCATAATACTTGGTGAATGCAAATTTAGTGGTAATTATTGAGACATCCATTTGGTAGTCTGTCTATAAATAAGGAAAATATCTTTCTAGGGAACATCTCTTTTAAATGCTGATTTATTTCGGAAAGCTACAGGTAAAGAAGGAAAACCTGAGGGTGTTTTAACTTGTAACACTAGTTGCTCTGAAGCATCTTTCAGTTCAGATGTTAATTTAATGGTTGTTTTTATCCTTTTAATTCTTTTATTTTAATTCAGGGAACTAATAGAAGAATTACATCCTATAATTAAGGAAGCACTTGAAAGAAGGCCAGAGGTAATTAGATGTTTTCCACTGTATTCAGTACAGAGTTTTAACTATCTTCTCACAAATGCTAGTAAAGAAATGTTAGTTCTTTAATTTCTGCACTAAAAACTGGTCAGTATACCAGATAAAAAGGTGAGATGTTACTTTTTCTAATGATTGTGAGGTGTTTACATTAGAAGAGCTTTGTGTTTGTTTTGAGCTCTGTATTGTTTCCTGCATCAAAGAAGTTTTGTTTCAGATGGTGAAAAAAATCACTGTAACCTTTTCCACATTCTTTTATTTCCTTTCACCTAAGCATGGTTTTACATAGTTGTTACTTTGTTGTATCATCAGTAACATGCCCACAATTAATTGTACATAAGACACAGACACACTCAATTGAGTTCTACTGTCTGTCAACTTTGTTGGTGGGTTTTTTTTTTAAATGGAAAAGGCTGTAAGCTCACCTGACTGACTGCTCTGACTAAAAATTTTCTGATGGAGAGTGTGTTTCACAGCAAGGTTTAGCAGTCTCAGTAGGTATTCATAGAAATAATCTCTGCAAACACAAACTCAGAGATGATTATTCAGTATTTTTTGTGGTAACTGTCATATTCTTATTTGTAATAAATTTGTAATTAAAGTCAGATGACGGAAAGGAACATCACTTCTGTTTCAAAATGATACTTGGCTCTAGTGTGTTTTTTCAGTCTTGTATGCAAATGTGTAGAAAGATTGGCATTTCTGCTTAATTGATTTATACGTTGCAATTTGTGACAGGAGACTGGTAAAACCCATTTTTTTGATAATACGTGTAATAGCAAGCCTAGTATATCTTGGAGTTGCAACAGGGAAAACTTTTGTTCATTTTCTGGTTTATTAAAATTGCTAGCAATTTTAGTAACTCTTCTTACAAGGTTGGCACCCCTGGTAATTGATGCCAGTTGTAGTACAGATATAATAATGCTTTTGTATGCCACACTGCTTTTATACATAGTTTTTGTGTTTCCTCTGTTGAATAGAACATGAAACGGCGCAGGCGTCGAGATATTTTACGAGTACAACTAGTACGAATATTTGAACTGTTGGCAGATGCTGGTGTCATTAGTCACAGGTAGGGGCAGCGCTGATGAGATGTTGTTTATGCTTCTGAATTAAATCACTAGTATTCTTATGACCCAGTATAAAAAGAATGCAAAATTCTTCAGTGAGTTTTAGTATACCACTAAATAAATAGACATGGTTCTATCAAACTTGGAATTTTGCTGGCTTTCTAATCCCTCCTTCCCCCATGCTCTTTGTCACTGTGATCTGTATTTTATTTAAAATGCTACTATCCCCTGGGACATTGCTTTGAGCAGGCAGTGTGTCATGTTTCTTCTTGTTTGTTTGTGCTCAAACATCGCACCAGTTACACAAATCAGAAAACACAAGTTACAACTATTTTGTGATCAGTCTGGAATTCTTGCTCACCTGGAGTCCTGATGCTAGTCTGCATGTCCAGAGAAGGCTACTACTTAGTAATACTGGACCTTTTTCTTTCTGAGGGAAGCAGAATGTTAATGGGGTTGTTTTTTTCCTCTCAATTTATCCTACTTGTGTAGGGACACTTTGAAGGAAGACTTACAATTCTGTCATATGTTGTACAAGTCTGTTGTGCTTTAACCCAGCAGGTAGCTAAAACAACCACAAAGCCATTCACTCATCCCCACCCAGCGGGGTGGGGCAGAGAATCAGAAAAAAGGTAGAACTTGTGGGTTGGGATAAAGACAGTTTAATAGGACAGAAAAAAACCCCAACAATAACAATAAAAGAATATACAAAACAAGTGATGCACAGCTCACCACCCTCTGACCGATGCCCAGTAGGTTCCCAAGCTGCAGCGCCTCCCCGGCCAACTCCCCCAGTTTATATACTGGCCATGACGTTATATGGTATGGAATATCCCTTTGCCCAGCCTGGGTCAGCTGTCCTGGCTGTGTCCCCTCCCAGCTATCCCGCGCACCCCCAGCCTTCTCGCTGGCAGGCCAGAGCATGGGAAGCTGAAAAATTCTTGACTGCTTAGCAACAACTAAAAGCATCAGTAATAAAACATTCTTTTCATCCCAAATCCAAAACACAGCACTATACCAGCTATCAGGGAGAAAAGTAACTCTACCCCAGCCAAAACCAGGACAAAGTCTCTTAGAAATTTTTTCTATGCAGGTGGAATTGTGTAAGAGCAAGTAAGCTAGGAGATGGTTAGGCTAGCTCCTCCCACTCTGTTAGACAATGATACTTAAACATTTATTTGTCAACCTTAGCAATATAATGAATGTGAAATTCTCAATCTTTAAGCAAGCTACTACAGTAACGTTTCAGAATGTTGCCTCAGAAGCATTGCTGAAATGCCTTTCTTCCTTTTGACATGCTGATTTTTTGGCAGCTGTTAAAATCGTACTCTCCCTTCTTATCTTTTAAGGTACTTACTGGTGGTTAGTTACCGTGTGTAAAATACCTCCTAACCACAGTCTGCACTCTGGAACTTTGTCAGCCTTTCTCTCTGAGACCAGTCTGACTCTGGTGGAAGCTAGCAAGCAGTTAAGGCCTACTCTAAGCCTCCTCATCTTGCCTTTGGTGTGCAAGGCATGCTTTTTTTTGTCTTCAGTACAAATGTGCAATGATGGTGGAGGGAGCTGAGAGGAAAGGAATTGCCCTTCTAACAGTTGTTTTTCAAAGGAGGGCAGGTTTGAATCACATGCACTCTTTAATCTCCTAATTTAGTTCAGTACAGACGTCTAGTCAGATGCTAAAGCAATGAAGATGGGAAATGAATATATAAAATGAATAAATTGCTTTCATCTGATAATAATAGTATGTCACGAACAGCTTGACTACTCCCAAAAATCAGTATGTAATACAGACGTCTATAGTCAAATAGTAGTAATTTTTTCTGGTATAGAAACTGCATAGTTTGGCGGGGGGAGGGCGGGAATTGGTTGTTTGGGGGGTTTTATTATTATTTTTAAGACTTGTACCTTAGGAACTAATTCTGTGGAAGGATGACTGACTTCTGATAGCGAGGCTTGATGATTAGTTTGCTCTCACTGGGGCTTTTTATTTAACACTAAAATAGAAGCTGGGTGAAGAAATTACTTAGAATTAAATATTTGCAATGATGAGGTTGTAGGTTTTTATAAAAGAGAAAAAAGAAGGATTGTTTTCAAAAATCATTGTATGTATTTATCATACTATTTGATTATTTTATTTTATTTTATTTTTAAGTGCAAGTGGTGGCCTTGATAATGAAACACATTCCCTCAACAACACTTTACTTGAGTATGTTGATCTAACAAGACAACTCCTGGAAGCAGAAAATGAAAAGGATTCTGATACGTTGAAAGATATCCGATGCCATTTTAGTGCCTTAGTGGCAAATATCATTCAAAATGTTCCAGGTATGTAACAGTGTTTTAATAATTTCTGATGACTCTATTTAATATGCAGTACATTAAAAAAAAAAAGTAAAAAACCAAGAACAAACAAACACTAAACAAAAATCCACTTTTTACCTGAAGTTTCAAAATACTTTCCTAAAAATAATTTATGCCATCAGTTTTTAGTATACCTCTAGCAGCATGAGTTTTTAAGAGGGATTTTTTGGTACTGTTTGGAGGCATACAATTAATTTTCTTATTTAGCAAGTCTTGTTGTTTGGCAGTGCATTTAAATTCTCTAATATATAGCTTATTCTTGTACACTAGTGGCATTAAAGAGTACAATAATAAAACTGTTTCCAGCTATTATAATGTTGAAATAATGTCTCTTTACATTGATTTTTCATTGTTTGGGTCTGTTTCTGTTTCATGTACTTTATTTTAAAGAATGACAAAAGGAGGGTGTCTGTCTGTGTGCTTTTCTTACAGTACACCAGAGAAGAAGTGTCTTTCCGCAGCAGAGTCTACGCCACAGCCTATTTATGTTGTTCAGTCATTGGGCAGGTCCTTTTAGTATCATGTTTACTCCCCTGGACAGATACAGTGATAGGAACATGCGAATAAACAGACACCAATACTGTGCATTAAAGGTATTTTAGCACTTTTTGAATTTTGGGAATAGATTGTTATGTTGACTTTTCTAATGCAAATTTAACATTTGGGCTTTTTGTATGTGGTTTTCACATCCTTGTTGCCATTCATGATTTAGTTCTTTTTCTCTTCTCCCTACATGTCTATTTCTTAGAATCATAGAATCGTTTAGGTTGGAAAAGACCTTTAAGATTATCAAGTTCAACTGTTAACCTAGAACTGCCAAGTCCACCACTAAACCGTTTGCCTAATTATCACATCCACACATCTTTTAAATGCCTCCAGGGTTGGTGACTTAACCACTTCCTGGGGCAGCCTGATCCAGTGCTTGACAAACCTTTCAGGGAAGAAATTTTTCCTAATACCCAGTCTAAACCTTCCCTGGTGCAGGGTTTGAGGCCATTTCCTCTTGTCTTGTCCCTTGTTACTTGGGAGAAGAGACCAACACCCACCTCGCTGCAACCTCCTTTCAGGTGATTGTAGAGAGCGATGAGTCTCCCCTGAGCCTCCTCTTCTGCAGGCCAAACAACCTCATATTTATGACAGTTCAGCTTTTTCCACTTGCTATAGGAATTTCTTAAAATTACTACTAAATGTTCACTTCCTGTGACTTTAGTCCTCAGTTGCCCAAGGAGAAAACCTTTCATGTAAAAGTACATTAACAATCAAACTGTAATATTAATTCTTGCATATGTCAGCATTTCAGTATTGACAATTCCTTGTATTTGGGAGCTGAGAAAAATATGTTTTGATAATTTCTTGAATAAGAGGTTAAAGAGTTTATCAGCCTTAGTCTTCCTCCCTTGACTGAATACAAGTTAGTTTTCTGATATATTAATGGACTTGGTAAAAGTACTTCCTGGATCTGAGTTATTAAAATGTAGTGTTTTTCAATTACTTTCTAAAGGCTATGTCTGCTGTACTGTGTTGTGGCCCTGTTGCAGATAACGTCGGGCTGTCATCTGATGGCTATTTATACAAATGGCTGGATAATATTTTGGATTCACAAGATAAAAAGGTAACACAGGCAATATCAACATTGGTTTGCAATTATCAGTGCCTTAGACATATGCTTGAATGAGCTTTGCAGTTAGATTTGCCTAAATGCCTTAGAAACTCTAAAGTTTCAGTAGCATGTATTTTTGCACGCTCCTTCGTACGTATATTCTCCCTGCTGAAGAATGCAGTCTCTAATTGCAGTCTGAGAACGGACAAAACAGAATGGAAGAGGAAGGAGCAAGGAGTGACACATTGTGTGTATTGTTTATAAATTAATCAGCTAGGTTAAGTTGTAGTAATAAGCAGATCTTTTAGAAATTTAACGGAGACAAGATTTTGAAGATGAAATCTTGTGAGACTGTAGGGTCCATTGGGGGTCCTGTGGAGTTACAAAGACCAAGCTTTACACCTAAACAGTAAGACAAGCTTTAGATTTAAAAGTAGGGCCTCCATTGCACTAATACAATGATTATGTAAAAATACAGCTCCCAGTGGGCTACTTTCATTCAAAACAACGTGCAAGTCTCCACATGGATCTATCCGTTGTATCCCATTGGAATTCTTGCAGATGTTTAAGTGCTTTTCTGATTCTGATGCTTTCAGGTCAGTGTTCAACTTGTAGTAAGACAAGCAAAAATAGTAAATAGCTCAAGGTAGCCTTGGAACTGAGGGGGAAAAAAGTCAGTAGAGCTATCTAGTTATTTGTTTCAATGATTTATGACTGTGTGTGCAAGTTGAACGTTAAACAGTTTGATAGAATTACCTGTTGTTATTTTGAGCTGTGGTCTCACTGTTTTCAGACAGAACAAATTTTGTGTATTGCAGTTTAGGTGTTTTTTTTCTATTAAATATCTATTTCTCTATGCCATTTTTGTAAGTTTTTTTTTTTTTTTTTCTTTCTTCTCTATATTTATAAATATATACTGGTTCTTTTCTGGAATACAGGTTCACCAGCTAGGCTGTGAGGCAGTCATGCTGCTCTTGGAACTCAACCCTGACCAGAGTAACCTCATGTACTGGGCTGTAGACCGGTGTTACACAGGTTCCAAGCGGGTAGCAGCTGGCTGTTTTAAAGCCATAGCCAGCGTGTTCCAAAACAGGTACTACAATGTTTTTCAAAACTTTAAACTTTCATTTTAAAAGTGTGCTTTCATGTAAAACTGAGTTTTTTCCTCCACTAAAGTGAAAAGATCACGCCTGTTTGTCTGTATGTGTTACTAGAGAAACTTCTCAAAATGTTACATTATCCCATAACATATCCCCTGTAAATTAAACTTCAATAAATTCAAATTTTAAAAAGGCAAATGCAATTTTACTTACTTCACACTTGCAATTTTTCCCTAGGGATTACCAGTGTGATACAGTGACCCTCCTGAATCTGATACTATTTAAAGCAGCTGATTCTACTAGGGCTATCTATGAAGTTGCTATGCAACTATTACAGGTTTGTAAGCTGATTTTCATTTGTATTTTTTTCTTTTTCAAATAAGAATCATCCTGTACATTAAAAAAAAAAAGTTATTATTTGATTGTCCATTCAGTAATGAAATACAATGGGTTGAGGTTGTTATTTTAGTACATAGTTAGGCACAAGTAGACTTCAGTGGAAGTGTATCTGTTTTCATGAACTAAGCACTCAAGAGTTCTATTTTCACAATACCTGCTTTTTCTAGAGACAAAACCTAAATCAAGATTCTTCTGGTTTGGCCCTGAAACAGAGTGATATATAGCTCTGTTTGTCCAAAAGCACCTCAGAGACAAGTATATTGCTTCCTGTCCCTTTACTCTGTCTCCTGGGATAGCAGTCAGTTTTCTGATTTTCATCTATGTGGAAAGATGACAGTGAAAATCCTGTTAGCTATTTAATTTACTTTTGTATATTCCTTTCTGAGGTCATTTAGGCTTAAGCTTAATCTTACAAGCAGTATTAGCATTTAAAAATAAATAAATAGATCTGTGCTGCTTGTGGCTTAGACCACCAGTCTTGGAAGCTTTTTCAAAGTTTATTGTTGTCAGCTAAATTCAACAGTAAAGTCACACCCCTCTTGATCTGTCAGCATTCACGGCACCCTCCCTTCCAACCCCATCTTTCTTCTCAAGGGAACACCACTGCTTAAGATTGGCCAAAACTGACTTTTGAAGTATCAAACTGCTTTAGCCTCCTGCTGCATCTCTGATACACCAAAGATTATGTTGCTCCTATCCATGTCTTACAGATGAGCAGAAGTTGATATTGTTTGGGAATACAAGTGTTCAACATTATTTCACATGGTGTTACAGAGAAATTTGTTCAATACGGTATTTTGTGAAAGCAGATTTCTGAAATTTATTGCTGGAAACTCAAGTAGAGTGAGTCTTAGCTAGTCTTGTATGGAATTACCGCAGTGTTGGTGAATACTGTAGATGTATGGAGGTCTGCATAGATAGGAAACATTAAATGAGAGTGGATACATGAACTTAAAAGGTGATTTTATTTAAAGATTTCCATTGTAGCTCTATGCTTAGCTTCAAATTTTGAACATTACTGTTGTAGATCTTGGAACCAAAGATGTTCCGTTATGCTCATAAACTGGAGGTTCAGCGGACGGATGGGGTTTTGGGTCAGCCTTCTCCTTTACCACATCTGTATTCTGTGTCGTATTATCAACTGTCAGAAGAATTAGCAAGGACTTATCCTGAACTAACACTTGCTATCTTCTCAGGTATGGTTTTAAAACAAAATGAAAAACTTCATCGGGTCAAAAGCATTTTGCAAAATGTGTAATTCTTATTTTTCAATGATTAGTTTATATGTAATTCACTAAAATCAGGACAACAAGGTAGCATCATAATAATGAGTGGAAAAAATGGAATTCATTGAGTGAATTTTTACTTGTATTTGAAATATATTCAAGAGTAAACAACATGAATCAAAGATACTTCTACTGACTTTCTAATAGCCATGAAAAATCATGTTAGAGAAATAATTTGCAACTGTGTTTTAAAATTATTCTTCTATTGTTCTTTCCAGTGTTTTCTTATTTACTGTAGATTGCTTAAAATATTATTCCATAGCATTTTTAAACAATTGCAGAATAAAGACTTCTCACATCAATTAAAAAAAAAAACTACTAGGACTAATATGAGGAAGAAAAAATTTTAAGTGCTTTTTTGCCAAAGTTGGTACATTTTTACGTGCTGTGGGTTTTCAGTTCCCTGCTCTATTTGGAGGAATATATATGTATGTGTATACTAAGATGGTTTCTTCAACATACTGTTTGTCAGTAGTGTCTTCAGTTAGCTGTACTGAAGACTGCAGACTTTGTCATTATGACATATTGCTAGTCAGCTAAACAAAAAGTTACGTCTGTATCAGCATCACTTTATATCGGTATGGTCTACTGGGTCGCGGTTGTTGTTATTACCAAAACAATTCTCATCATTGATTTGCAATTCATGTATGTACCTAATTTTTGAATGACAGAAGTAAGTCAGAGAATCCAAACGGCTCACCCAGCTGGGAGACAGGTGATGCTGCATTATCTGCTGCCATGGATGAACAATATTGAGTTGGTAGACTTGAAACCTTTGCCAACCATTCGTCGGCAAGATGAAGATGAAGAAGATTCTTTGAAAGACAGAGAAATAATGGTGAACAGTAGACGATGGCTACGAGGAGAAGGCTGGGGATCACCACAGGCTACAGCTATGGTTCTGAACAATCTAATGTATATGACTGCAAAGGTAAAACTAATTACTTAAGTGCTCCATCTTGTTCCAGAGGATTGTTTTGTTTAGGGTGCCAGAAAATACTGTTCAGAGATACTGTGTTACCAGACTTTCAAGAGTCATTGTTCATATTTGCTGAGTTGCTTATGTATACCCAAACTATACCATATAGTTTTCAGGTATTACAAGAAATACGTAATATGTCATATAAATGTTACAGTAATTGTTATACATAGTAACAGTATATAACTGTTGCTTCGCAATATAGATGTCTAGTTGGATAGATTATACCAAGTTGCCTGTATACCTATGATCTCAAAGTGGAGTTTTGGAACCGATCTTGTTGCCAGAGACTGATAGACCCTCGTCCTTCCTGTGATAGCTACTTCCAACAGAGAAAAAGTATTGCTCACACACAGAATCACACAGAATCACTAGGT